CCTGATCTCAGTTAACCCTCAAGTAACTTTGTGGGACAGGATCTGTTATTATCCCCATTTTACAGATGTTAACATGCAGCTTTAATAAATAAGGCCCTTCACATAGCTTGTGAAAAACTTAGTAAACAGAAGCCTCACTGAAAATGAATTGGGAGATCCTGTGAAGGCAGGTGGCTTTCATGCCCTACGTGGGTCACGAAGCACAGCGGGGAGAACTCTGGTTGTGACAGCCCTCCCAACGTCCCTCCTCCCTCTGCGGAAGAGTCCCCACTAGTCTGTTATAGGGGACTTGCACACAGCTCATCATGGTTCTGTGTTCCAGATTGCAGCTCTTCATGGTTCTCAAATAAACCCTTTATTTATTTGTTTGTTTGTTTATTTATTTGCCTATTTATTTATTTATTTACTTATTTATTTATCTATCTATTTATTTATCTATTTATTTATTAGGTGAGGCAACCCTCAGTTGACTTCACAGATTGCAAGGACCTTGTCAGTTTACAATCCCTTATTTTTTAAATATTTTATGCCTACAGCACTTGGTCTTCCTAGGTGGTCTCCCATCCAAGTACTAAGCAGGCCTGACCCTGCTTAGCTTCCGAGATCAGACGAGATCGGGCTTGTTCAGGGTGGCATGGCCGTAGACCCAAATAAACTCACTTTACTGGAGAAATATCCCACTGATTTTTTGTTTAAGGTCAACAAACTATTAGATAAAAAAAAAAAATACAAGTTTGTGTATTTGCACAACCTTGGCTTTTAGCTATGACTGCTTTTCTATGTTAGAACCCTTGGAAATCTTGGATTCTGGATCAATATTTTTTTTTGTGGTAGAATATGCATAAAATTTACCATTTTAACCATTGTTAAGTGTATAATTCAGTGTCATTAATTATATTCACAATGTTGTGTAACCATCATTACTGTCCTTTTCTAGAGCATTTTCATCATCCCAAACAGGAAATTTATATTTATTAAACAATAGTTTTCCATTCCCCCTTCCCTGGCCCCTGGTAAACTCTCTTCTACTTTCTGTCTCTATGAATTTGCCTATCCTAAGTACCCCACGTAGATGAGAATCATACAATATTTATCCTTTTGTTGGACCAATATATTTTTATGGAATGAAAGAAGGAATGATTCCATCCTACTGAAGACTTTGAAATACATCTGGCCATTCCTGCCCTGTACTCAAAATTCAAACTTCCTGATTCTCAATATCCAGCTAATCCTTCCAATCCTGCATATTTCTCTGGAATTAGCCGTGGTCTTTTTGATCAGGATACCTGCTGGAATCACCCTGCAGTATTCCAGATCCTGGCATCTTTTGCACACTCTGTCAGGACGCCACCCTATTCTGCACATGCGACATGAATAATGAACATCCACAAGGCACTTCATTCTTTACAAAGTACTTTATTATATATATACACACATACATACATACGTATTTCCCTCACAATACCCTTATGAGGCAAATAATGTGGTATTATACAAGCGAAGAAACTAAGAATTAAAGACAGGATATGCCTTACCCACGTGTGATGGTTAGCAAATGCAAGAGCAAGACTCCAGAGACCGTGGGCATCTCTGTATAGCACTTTGCCTCCCTGACAGTCTGTCCCATCCCTCTGTTTTAAAGAAGCTCCACTACCGAGTAGGGCAGAGGAATGCTCAGGAATGGCCCCTGTGTGCATGTGTGTGTGTGCGCGTGTGCGCGTGCGTGTGCGTGTCTGCGCACATGCGCACACACATTCAGGAAGAGGGAGAATTGAAATGATTTCAGTGTCGCCTTCTTTAGTTTCTGAGTATATATGATTGTTTCCCCTCCGTACGTGCATCTGACCACCTGTCGCCTGTTGTCATGCTGTGATTTATAAGAAATAAAATACTGGAACTGGTTCCAGCCCAGTGCACACTCTCCTAGAGCTTCTTCCCTGCATCTCCGTCCCCTTTCCTGTCCTGCTGGACTAGGAGGAGAACATAGGGACCTTAAAATCCAGTGCATCCTCTTCCTAGGCCTGTGGCCAGCTCTGAGCGGCCAACTTTTATTTTACTTTATTTTGTGTTTTGGAACATATTCATTTATTTTGGTATGAGAGTTCAGATTTTACCTCTTTTTTAAAAAAATTTTATTAATTAGAATTAACATTCAATATTATTTTAGATCAGTTTCAGGTGTACAGCATAGCGATTACACATTTATGTCATCGACAAAGTGACCCCCTGACCAGTCTAGTCCCCGCCTGGCACCAGACGTAGTTATTACCATGTCATAGGCTGCATTCCCTGTGCTGTACTTCACATTTCCGTGCGAATTTGTGCTTAATCCCGTTTGAACAGCTAGCTTTTAAATTCCACTCTCTTTGGGCCTTACCCTTAAAATTCCAGAATCAAAGGTGTTATCTAGGATGGCGCATATGGCCCGTGCCTCACTCTGCAAGAGAGAAAGCTTAGAGAAAGGAGAGAGGGAGATGACATTTGTGATCCTGTCACTCTCTCAGTGCCATAAAGCACTGTGTCCTGGGGAGGTCCTCCCTGAGGAAGCCGAAATAAAGGTGAACGCTGTGTGTGGCACATTCCGTAACATTAATTGCCTTTGGCTTCGCCAGCCCATAGGTACAGATGGAGTTGTATTAATAGCATTTGCCACATTCCTTTGGCTGAATGGACTTTTGACTCCTCCAGCTTTTCTGAGTCGTCCTGCAAAGACTCCTCCAAATGTTTCTGTCCCCTGACAATATCTTACATGTATGTCCCTGCCAACAAATTTCTTTTCTTCATTGGGTACTAACATCTCACACCTGGCATCTTCCAGCTTACTGGGCATCAGCGCCTTCTGAAGCAGATGACACAGCAGGGCTTTTGAGGTGTCGAAGCGCCACAATGTTCTGCTCCAAAACAGCAGAGAGCATCTCTTCTGTGTTACACACTCTTCAGGAGGGCGGGAGTGGAAGCCCAGCTTGTGCTGTGAGGTTGTACAAAAGTAAATGTCTCCTTCAGTTTTCCCTAATGACCCAGTATAAGTCCAATGGATTCCTGGTCAAGAAACAAATTTGAATATCAGTATTTGATATTTAAGACTGATATTTGAATATTAATGCTGTTCTTCCTCCTCAAACAAGCAAAGCTCTCGTACTGAGTCAAGCCTGTGCAATATCTGGCGTCTGCCTTCTGCAGGATGAGTTTCCCCCAAGAGGCTTCTCAGGAAACTGCTCCTGGAGGACTCATCCCACTGTTTGTCCAATGCGCTCAGCCACGTCTAATCTGCAGCTCACCTACTGTACACATATATTATTTCCACAGTGCTCTTTTTCTCAGCCAAGGCAGTGTTGGTTTTGTCAGGAAGGTGTTTTAGCTGCAGATAACATGATGCCTGACGAATGGCAGCTTCAACAAATAGGATTTCATTTGTGTCTTGTAAAAAGCATTCAGACACAGCAGTCCGGGGCCTTTGCAGTGGCTCAAGAAGGCTATCAGGGACCCGTGCCTGTCTTCTCCCTCCTTTCCTCCTTCCCTCCCTCCCTCTCTCTCTCCCTCTCTCTGTTTTTGCCCCGACATTCTCAGTCCATCAGCTTTTGTCCTCGTGAGTCTCATGACCACTTATGGCTGCTGCATCTCCCAGCCACAGGTCAGCATTGCATTCAGAGGAAGAAGGAGAAAAGGCCCCCCGGGCGGACTTCCACTTACATCCTTTCCAGCGGAGCTACACGCATTCGCTGGTGTGTGTGTGTTGGGTGGGGTGGGGTGGGGTATTTAAACTCTCCATTTCCTCCAAGCTTAAAACAGATTCTCCATCATGCATCACAATGACGTATACCGGCGGTATTTGTTAGACAGATTCTCCCAGCAGCAACTGCTCTCGTGGACATTGTTCACTCGTGTGGTGTCCCACCCCCAAAATGGGCCACACATCTTTACATCTCACCTTTCTTTGCATAAAACAGTAACACGAAGGTAACTGATTAAATGGACAGTTTAAGACCTCGAGACTTTTTATGAAGTTTTTCGTTGTGGCTCCTAGAAAGCTACAAAATATTTTAGAGCATTACTTCAACTAGCTGTTTACCGTGCCAGCCTGTCCTCCAGGTCAAGAACGGATGTGACACACCAGTCTTTCGCACAGGGTGTTTTGCAGAGTACCAGCGCCTGCAGATTTCGGAGACACGCATGCGCAGGCCGGCAGTGCTGCCTGTTTTATCCAGCTCCGAGCGCTATGCAGTGCACCCTCCTCCCCACGTTTTTGAATAAAAGAACCTTTGAGGCATCATAGCTATATACATGAAGTGGAACTAGGGTTTTATGGAATAGACTTTGAGAAATGTCAGCCTACTCTATTAATGTTAAACTCGAGCTACGTTTTCCACCCAAGCTTATCAGATTGAGTTGTCAAGTGTGAAACGTAAATAATATAATACTTATGATGCTGTGTTAGCAGCTTAGCGTGCTTCCAAGTGGTTCCTTTTACCCTTCCCCTTTGAAATGTATTAATACAAGCCAGTTTCCTTTCATGAGAGGATTATAGTGTAATTTCTTATTCATATAGATTAAGAAACAGTGTTTTAGTTTTAAGGCATGGCAAAGGTTCTGAAGTAAGGAACGGTTTGGTTTTTTAAAAAAGAAAAAATCACTTTGCACATATTTAAGGAAAGAAAATAAGAACAAAATTAAGCATAGCAGCATATAGGAGATATTAAAGAGAAGAAGTTTTTAAAAGCACTCCGCAACCAAGAAATAACTAGACTGTGGTATTGAGGACACCAATGTAAACTGAAAAGAGATTAACAGCCTGGCATACATCCAAGGGGAAAAAATTTAAAAGTACGATTGAATTATAGCTGCTGATGATTTTCCTCAAAGGTAAACAATTTTGAGGAGTCGAATAATTGAACAGAACCCAAGTTCAGATTATGCGCTTCATTAAAATTTGTGGTCAGTGAACGGAACATCCCCAAGTGCCTCTAGCCTGGACTAACTTTGTATCATATACACACACTCAGATGCCGAGTCATAGTGATGAAACACCCAACAGAGACAAGAGCCAAATACGGTCAGCTTCATGATGATGCTGGAGAAGCGGTGGAGGCTGTGGCCTCAACCTCAGTATGGACCCACGGTGGCCGAAGATTGGGCAGAAGAAGTGGCTGCCTTCTGGTAATGCTCTTAGCATTTTGCAATTAATCACAATATCATATTTAACTCCTAGAGGACAGTAGGGTGGAGAATCAGTCAGCCCCATGACACAATGAAGCATAAGCCTAAATGATTAACCAGAAAATACATGTCTCTGACTCCCCGTCTCAGAAACAGAAGATGCTAAGTGTCATCATATATATATGTAACATACATGATACATATATGATTCTGTGCAAACTTCTTATTAACTTTTAATAGATATTTTATATCTAGATTCCCCAGAAGAATACGAAATTTTACTTATTATCAGATCTGTTCACTAGTTGCAACAAAATGCAGGTGCTATTTTGTTACTATGATTTTTTTTTTGAAGCCAGAGGCTATTATAGTATAAAACACACGTGACCCAATGAGATGAGATTCTTTACCGAAATCCCTTGCTGAGTGTTGTAAGGGTGAGCGTGGGGAGCAGGGTCGGGGTTTGGGGTTTGTACGATTACGTATCTGATGGCTTCCGAAAGAATGAAACCTCAAATACTAGGCTAATATCGAGTTTAAGAATTGCTTCAGTGGTAGAAATTTAAAAATCTAATATTTTATGCGAAAGTTTAAGGAGGAAGAAATTTGAATAAAGAGCAATTAATCCATAGTTTAGGAACAGACCGTGAGCTAGGAGCTCTCCTAGAGATGGGAAAGTAACAGCCTTGCAGGCGGAGCATTTGTTTCTTGATCACGTTTGACATTCAGCTCTTGCCAGGTCTATATTTAGAACACGGCAAACTCAGTGCCTAGACGTGAATACAGAGGTAGGTGGAATCCGGCACTCTGAGATTTATGTGTTTGTGCATTTATTTTAGGGGAAAAGAGGGTCTATTTCAGATTACCTGTCATCACTCGTGAAGACTTGCCTGTTGAAAACAAGTCTCCGTGTTTGTGTTTTCTCTCTGTATCACAATCTAGTCAAGTGATTGTTCAACCGTCTGTACCAGGCAAATTAAATAAATTTATTGAAATTACTATATGCAGAGAGCTATGCTCCTTTCCAGCACATGGCCAGCCTGTGACTGAAGCTCTGGATTCTTCAAATTAAACAGAGTTGGGGAATTTTGTTTTTCAATGAAAGTGCTTTCGTTCTATGCAGGCACAGTTGGAATCCCCAGGGAGAGGAACTTGCTGAGGACCTCGCATGCCTTTTCATTGATGCGATCTCCCTTAACATTTTTTTAATTGGCGTAAAATATGCATAGTGTAAAATCTGCCATCTTAACCACGTTTAAGTGTACAGCTTAGTGGCATAAAGAACATTCACACTGTCGTGCAGCCGTCACCACCATCCACCCCACGTTGCAACACTAAAACTCTGTCCCCATGAAACATAACTCTGCACCCCCGCTCCCCCGAACCCCTGGCCATCACCATTCAACTCTCTGCTTCTACCAACTTGGCTACTGTAGGTATTTCATATATGCAGAATCATACAGTATTTGTCCTCTGTGTCTGGTTTATTTCACTTAGTGTGGTGTCTTTAAGTTTCATCCCTGTCATGGCACGTGTCTGCAATCTCCCATGTTGGTGGCTAAACACAAAAAGCAGCCCGGTCACTAAATATCCGTGTCATACTTCATATCAGTTGGCTTCAAAGGGACTCTAGGAAGAAATCAAAAAGAGCAAAGCAGCATTAGTAGTGGGGTAGACACGGGGTCTAATAAATAGGAAGAGACACACAGAAAGCGGCAGTTTCGACTTGGTTTTAACCTGCTCTCAGAGAGTCTGGCCCCACGGAGCTGGGTGAGGTCCCAGAATCAATATTTTTAAGAGCCCTTTTTAAGAAATACAAAGAATTCAGAGAATGTGAGTTCCGTCTGTGCTGCACTGAGCTAGTTTCACCTGTGACCTCCGCCCACGGCCATTCTTCACAGAGAAAGCCGAGCCATCCTCCTCATCAGCCATTCGAAATCTGACTTTGTCCTCCCTTCTTGAGGCAAAACACTTCAGTTTTGCTGAGGTAACAGACTTTATTTTATGTGATTTTCTCATCCTTTAACACCCGTTGGCTTTCCCTTAGACGTCCGTTGGTGGTCAGCATCCATGCAGGGTGAGGCGTCCAGGCTGCTGCTTGTCCAGCATTTCCCGAGATCCGGTCCGTGGTAGGCAGACGGCTAAGGTGGCAGGAGGAACTAGGGCTGCTGACCAGATGGCAGTGGCCTAGGAAGGTCATCCAGGCTAGCCTAGCCTGATCACGTGGACACCTTAATAGCAGAGTTTTCTCGTCCTGGATGCGTAAGGGGAGGTGAGGGAGATTCAGCAGCGAGAGGAATCCCCTGTGAGGGGCGATCGCCGAGTGGAGAGGGACACATGGCAACGAGCTGAGAACGGCCCGTGGGAGCTGAGAGCGGTCCCCAGCCCAGAGCCGACAAGGGGATGGGGACCTCGACTCTACAACCGCCAACCACTTGAGGAAACTTGGAGAAGATGTTCTCCTAGCCCAGCCTCCAGGCGAGGTTCCCGCCAGCTGACCCCTTGATGTTATTAGCCTCAGGGGACCCTGCGTGGACCATCCGGTTAAAACACGCCAGACTCCTGAGTAACGGACGCTGAGCTAATAAGTGGATGCTGTTTGAAGCCACAAAGTTTGTAATAACCTGTAAACGCAAAAATAGATAATGAATACACTCGCTGCCTCTTCTATCTGATGCTCCAACGATACTTTACCTACTCGTGGTTCCCAAGCATGGCTTGCTCTCAGGCTCACGTACTTTTTCGTTCACGGTGTTTGTCTGCCTGGGGCATCAACCCCTCTTATCTGGTCAGGTGGGTGAACTCTCTCTTCCTGTTCAAGGCGCACCTCGGCTTTACTGCCAGCAGAACATGCCACTCCCTTCCCTAGGTAGACCGACTGTCCAGACCCTTCTGATGGGAGGAATTAGAGCGAGCCCTGGAAAACGCCACTGGCAGGAGAATTTTCAGTTAGCCACGTCAAGATGTTATGGAAAAAAGATCATGAAGACAATCGTTATGGAAAAATTGAGACTACATATATAAAAGTCTCAGATGTTTTATATTCCCTCAAATGATGCAAGCCGTTTACAGCGCCATGGTAGTTCACGATACGCTGCAACTACCGCCATCATATTGGCAATACTTGGCAGTCTGCTTTTTGTGTTTACCACCTGTTGCTAAGTAGAGGCTTTTAAGGATGTTTTTCCTCTGCATTATTACTGACATGCTTAAATTCCTCCTGTTTTGCCCCAGAGGGATGTGTGTGGTCTCACCGAAATAGTTTATGATTTTTAAAACTTTTAACCTTGAGGGTTTGTGTCTTTCTCCTGCCTCCCGGGTTCCGCAGACTTTGTCACTGGGGTCTGGGCCTGGGGAGCAGTAGGGGCAGACGCGACCTCAGCACATGCGCGTGCGCGGTCCTGAGACCACGCCCCAGCATCACGAGGTTGCGCAACCTCCCTGACAGCCTCGCCCAGCCACGATGCTCTTCCGGGTCTCCGCCCCACCACCTGAGAGCCCGCCCCCTGAGCCAGGATGGGGCCACGACCAGTTCCATCCATCCGGCCGCCAGGATCGCAAGCTCTCGCTGTACTACTCTCTACCTTCCTTCTCTCTCCCGATCCTGAATAGCTTTCTCTAATTACAGTATAGCCTTTGCATTCACAAGGACTATGCCCCCTAATCTTTGACTATTCTCAGATGCACAAGTACCTCATAGCATGGATCAAGCCCCTATCGTGAGAGAGGCCCTGAGGCCACAGAGAGGAATAATATGTAATTCTATGTTTTCAAGAAGTTCATTTGCAGATGCAAGAAATCCAGTTAGGCAGATAAAGCGGTATCCAGAAATTAAAGCAAAAAATGATGGTCACTGGAAATTGTATCAGTGGGATTCAACATTTAACAGGTGTCGCGATAGGAGGACAAAGCATGAAAAATCGACATTTAGGTGCAGAAAACATTTCGGGATTCAAGTAGACGTGAGAGAAGTCTGTTAGGAGGTAGCAAGACACATGGAAGGATGTTCGGATGCAGAGTTTTACTCTCTGGTAGGGAACTGACAACCGCAAAGCAGAGTCTCGGTTCTTTAGGGACTGGACTGCTGTAAAAGACAAGACTCACATGGAAAATCAAATTTGTGACTCAATTACCAGAAGTAGGCCACAGGCAGATTTGGGTCTTGAATACAGTTTTAAAAACTGGAGCAAGCCAGAAAGTCCATGTCATTCCACAGAAAGTCCATGTGCAAGTATGCAAATATATACATGCAAGGCTGTTCACTGCAGAACTGTTGATAATAGTGAAAATCTCAGAAACAGCGAAGTGCTCCCCAGCAGGGTCCTGGTTGTATGAATGATGCTGTGTCCAACTGAGGGAATATTTCGAAGGTCTTAAAATCAATGAGAGATCTAGCTCATATGAGATGATGTGGAAAGATTTCCAAAATGCATTATTAATTGAAAAAATTAAAATACAAGACAATATGAACAGTGTGATATTACCAGTGCAAATAAAAGGATATTTCCTTAACCCCCCCAACCTACTTCCCACACACACCAATCTATGTATATTTGTCAGTGTCCATTCATGGGGGAAAAAAACATTTGAAGTATTTCAAACAAAGGAGATTTCATGCAGGGATTGGTTAAAAATTGTGTTAGAGCCACAAGGCAAGTTTACCCGAAGGTGAGCAACATTAAGAAGACCCGGATGGAGTGAAACAAAAAGCGATTTAACGCAGGGTCCGCGGTCGCTGCGGGAGGACCTGCCTGGGGTGATGCTGGAACACGCCACATTCCAAGCACGACACCCCCTTGTGGGCTTTACTGGGGGCGTCCATTAGACTGAGGGATGGTCTTGAACGGCCGTGTACTGGCGTTATTATTATACATTGCATGAAATTAGTAAATTGTGTCAAGGGGAGAGATCTCATGTAAGTTCTTCAGTTTGTTTATTTGTTTTTAGATACACTCTTCTTGTTTGGTAAATGTTGAATGATGACGAGAAAGACCTAAAATTGCTTAACTAGTTCGGGTCGTAGGGGTGGGGAGAGAGGCTGATACATTATTAAAGACAAGATAATGTACAATAATCATCTACAAATGGTTTTATTTTAACTAATCTGAAAAGAGGAGTCTATTTAAAACTGCAGAAATATGTTGGTTTCTGTACATTAACTTTCCAAGTAGGAATGTGTAGTATAATTTTTAAAGAGACAAGTAGATTACTTCTTTATATTAGTTTGTTGAGTTGACTTCATGGTGAAGCTGTACGGTCTTCCGAT